TTCTAGATTCAAACTATAAAGCCACAAATCCATTTGGGATCTTGGGACTCCTTTTGGAACTCTTGATTCTTTCCAAAAGGGATATCAGATGAAGCTACCTCACCATTACCCACCCAGGCACCCTGTCCTGGTTGCACAGTTACTGTCATGGGTTAAACCAGCAGCAAAGGCAGAGGCTACTTACTACAAGGACAAAAGCCTGATAGATGCAGCAGCTTCAGCCAAACAACCAGTAAAGGCATGTCAGCAACTGTCAAAAAAATTACAGCCAGTCCATGCAGAAGCTTTAGCAATAAACACAACTAAAGAGTGACACATCAAACCGTACGGAGCGTGTTAAACGCTCGGCGGAAAAATCTATGGGAACTTTTTATACTACACCCTAGGGCAGAGAGGAAATTATGCCACAACTGGACTGCAGCTCTTAGCAAGGTCAGCCCACACTCTCAGTTCAGCAGCAGCTCTGAGAAAAACCTTGCAGAGGAAAAATCAGATAGCATTGGCTCCCCAGAAACTGTTACAACTGAACCGCAGCAGCTCCTGCATTCCCAGCCTCTCCCAAGGCATCCAAAATAGTCCAAGTCTGGGACTCCCAAGGAAAATTTTGTTACGCCCTGCAGAGGAATGTTCCACCCACGGCTGTTGTTTCCTCCCATAAAAGGATCATTAGTGAGATAATTTCTGAGGTTCGGGGTATTGTCTGCAGATTTTACTGAAACATCGCACCAGGAAGGGGAAGCCAAATGAGCCAGACTATTTTAAGGTTTTTGCATTTGGAGGAAATTCTAGGGCAAAATTTCAAAAAGGCAGATGCTTTGAACTGGGAAACATTATGCTTTGCGGAGAAGGGAGCATTCCTGTCTTGGGAGCTGCTTAAATAACTCTTTTGGGGCCACATCTATTTGATCGCCTTCATTTTTAGGTTCAGAATCTGCTTTTTCAGACACCTCACTACTAAATTATACGAACACGTGCATATTTGGGAAACAGTTTAAAAGCTGATAGACTATAAAAGCTACTCTTACATCCTTCCCCTAAGTATAATTCACCTCAAAGGCCTGCTCCATCATCACAGTGGACAGTGGGGCACATTATCCCTGCCATGCTACCAGACAGATGGGACAGGAGACTCCATCACAGGGAGCACAGTGGCTGGATCTGCAATTAGGATTCTAAGCTTTCTATCCCCAAGGTCTCCTTTTCCTTAAGGAGCATGGAGAGAACATTTCCATAGCTGCATGCTACACGTGGGTCTGACTGGGATTTAGATTGCTCTGACTGGGAGAATAACATGCAGTACTATTCAGACATGTCTCTGCTAGCAGCGCTCCCTCACCATCAATTATCAGCAAAATGCTATCCTGGTCTCAAAACCAAGGCTGGGCTCCCCTCTCCTGGACAGCTGGGAAGGTGCAGCTTTCAAGGCTCTTCCACAAGAGAGGGAAAGCTCTTTGCTGGGCTCAGTTGGTAAATGGCCCCTTCCCCAAAAATAAAGCAGGCTGTCAAAGGCTAACACCCTCGGCTTGTCTTCTAGGAACATGCCTTGACCCCTGGTCTCGAACACATCACCAAAAAGAAGAGTTTGGGTGGGTTGATGGTAGGTCCCAGGCCCCAACAATTTGAGCAGCACTTGAATCAATCGCCTGCACAAGATTTCCAACCCCTTGTTGGGCAGTTACTGCTGACAGGAGATGGGAAAGGCAAGGTGAGTGTTTCCTGAAGCACCTGTGAGGGCAGCAGGGATGGCAAGGCAGGGTCTCAGCAGGGAACCCCCTCCTGGATTGCTTTGACTTAAACAAGAACCTTTTTTCTTTCCCACTGCATCCAAGGTTTATGTTTCCTTTGGAAGGAAGTCAGAGACTGAAAGGATGTTTATTCAAACTGTTATTTACTCATTGGACAAGGACGTCTCCTCTAGCTCCACACAGTCAGCCAATGCTTGCAAATGCTGATTACCATTTGTATCGTGGGTTTTTAGGAGAGAATGTGACTGAAGGGGCTTTCACAAAACACCTTCCAGGCCCAATCTCACAATTAAATACACAGGATCCTGAGCTCCCACTGAAATTCAAGCAGCTACAAAATCAAGAGTTTAAATGCACTTTTATTTACAGCAGGTGCTTTCAAGGAGAGGATGGATTGCAGTGTTCCTCTTGGGTCTCAGTGTGTCAAGGCAGGGAAATCAAAAGACAGGAATTTTCCACAAAGTTTTGGCTTTTCCAAAAGCCAATCTGCTGCAAGGACTGTGCACTACAGGCTACAGACATCTCTTATGGTAAAGAGTTAGAAATGGGAAAAGATTGAATTAAACTTATTGCTGTGGCTGGTTTTAAGCTTTGTTTCAAACCTCTTGCAAAAGCTGTTTGCCAACCGTTTCCTTGTTAATCAAGGGTGGTTTGCAGTTGTGGTTATTATGATAAAGTGCAATAACGATCTTCATCCTGGGCTTCCTAAGGGAGGGGCTCACAGGATGACATTATCTATCCACGTGTATATGTCAGTCAAATTTTGCAGGGAAATACTGGTCTTGAGGATACAAATTTAATAAGAATATAAGATCAGTAGAAGAAATAACCTAATTTTAACATAAGACCAAACTACAAACTATTACCAGAATAGGTAAATAAGCACAGCACTGACTTGCCTTAACAGCACCTTGTTTTCAGTTGTTCCAAAACAATTTCTTAGCATGCACTGGAAAATAAAACCCTTCCTCTCCAACTGGGAGACGCCAGGCCTCTTGCTCTATGAAAACATTTCCAAGTGACCTTGATTCCCCTGAGAATATGCTGGCAAAACAAAGGCACTTTTCAGCACAGGAACAGGCAGCTGAAGCTGAAAAACAAGGTTTTCACCCCCACAATCGGGTATCAACAGGGTGGTCATGTGAAAAGGGCTGCCTCACTCCCCCAGACAGCACACAGGATACACAACTCGGGGAACACAGTGCAGGGGTGGCAGGAACAGAAGATGTTTCTTCTAGGTTTCCTCTGCTTGTAGGGAGGCAAATATGAAATTCCATCTCGAAATGAAATGCAATTCAAGCATTCCCCAGCACCTTCTTTGCTGCAGGTCCCTGTGACCAGCTCACATGCAAGGCCTGAGCTTGCTGATGCTCCTTTACTGCTTTAACCTTCAAGATCCATCCAAGTCCTGCCACTCCAACAGTCTGGTTCCAGCAATTCACATATGAAATGCATGTACAGGTATGAAATGGTGGGTTTGGGTTAGAAATATAGAAAGAATTTCACAGCATTTCAGAATCAAAGTGTTTTTCTTCCCAGAGAACTAACACTTTAAAATAATTGAATGGTTCCAGTGGTTGTTAAGATCTCATGAAGTAAAAAACAATAGTTACACTCCTGGGAGATTGCTGGCCTCAGCCCAGGGAATATTCAGGAATATTGCAACTGCAAGCTCTGGCATCTGTCTTTAAGTTTGCTTCTACCTTACAAAGCAGCAAAGTGAGGGAAAATAGGAAAATTCACAGCTAAATACAGGAATGTTTGCGATTAACTACAGCTCTAGGCTACTTTAAATACGTCCTGCGTGGACACACACATGCACATTTTAAGGTTTTTACTTAATCAGGAGTTTAATTGTTCCATTACAACCAAACTAACAAAGGGCAGCACAGACAGCTCTGCCTCCCTGGTACTTCAGAGCAGGACACTGTCCAGGTCCATCTGTACATGCTTTGCAGAACTTCAAAGGGATTAAAGAGCGAGAAAGCACAGACATAGGACAAAGCTCTAAACAAACCTTGCCAATCTCCACAGCACAGAGACACTCCTGTCATCCCAGGGGCACAGCTGCCCATGGCACTGTTTGTGTTCATCTCTCCCCACGTTCATCCTTTGCTGCAAGTCCTGAGGCACTCGGGGCAAGGCTCACCCACAGCTCTTCTCTTGTGTGGTCTTCTCCAATTTTATCCCCTCAAATGGGCCCAAAAGGCTACAACAGCACCAGCTTTCCAATCATACACAAACTCTCCAAGTACTGCACTAGTTTCCACTCCCTCCTCAATTTCTGTAATTGCCTCCCCGGTTGATTTCTTGTCTCGCCCCTGCACAGTAATTACAGGCAGCACCACTCCCAGGTATGCCACATCCCAAGCACATCCCCACTTTAATAGCAGTACTCAGGCAACCATGATTAAACTACTTCTGCTGGGAGAGATGAGCATCTCCCATGTTTTTCTAAAGCAATACAAAAGCATAAATAAGTTAAATAATTCACTCGAGGTCACGAACTGTGGCAGAGGTGGGATTAGAAATAGATACCAATTGCTATGACAGTAAGAAGTGGCAAATACAGCCAGCCTTGCTGGTGAGGGAGTGACTACCCCATCCTAGCAAACTAGTCTTAAATCTGGTATTCAAAAGTCACTGAGGAAAGAAGTATGACTGACGGTTCAAGGTTCAACGTTCCTGGTCTAAACCACGACAGACACAGGAAATACATCACACCAGGTGATACCTCAAAATCAGCAAAGCCAAGCTCAGCACTCACAGCCTCTGCAGCCATGGCTGTGCTGATCAATACTGTACTCCCAGCAAACACATCTGCCAAGCAAAAGACAATAAAAACCCAAGAGCTGAACAGGAGAAGCAAGAAGAAGTGGCAGCCAGTCATCAGCACAGCAACCAACAACTCAGGATACTCCAGCAAACAACTTAGTGAAAAGGCCAAATAGCCTTTTATTGATCCCTACCCAGGAGCAAATGTACTTGTACCTATTTAATGCTGCTCATTTTATCATTAGCTTCAGAGTGGTACAACCATAGGCTTCCTGGTTCTGCTTTTGATCTTTAAATCAATCCCTCGTTCCCTTCCCTCCAGAGGGTGATGGGAAAGCAGGTCAGAGCAGCTGTTCAGCGTAAGAGGCACAGAAACATCTCACTAAATACAGGAGAGGGTTTCTGCCTGCCAGGGCTATTCCTCAATTCATCATCCCAAGATGAGAACCCCTGGCATTACCAGAGGTGAGATGCACGTACCTGCCTGCCATCCTGTCCCACGTTGGTCTGTCCTCTCACCACAGTTCGAATGTTGTCATCCAACCTCCTGGAAAAAGGAACCCAAGAATGTCAAACTCAGTCTCTCTGTGCCTGACCCAAACAACTGTGGGAACCCTGCCAGCTACAGAACCAATTTTAAATAAAAAAGCCAATGCTACCAATGATAAACTCAATTTTTGCCCCCTCCTCTCTCTGTTGGACATCATTATCTTATATCATTTAAAAACTCCTGTTGCAAAAATAAAAATCAATTCCTTAATTCAATCAGGGCTTCTTGCAGTTCTCCTCCTTTAAGCAATATTGTCAGCTCTGCCTTGTCTGTTTGCATTTCAGCTTTCCACATATTAAAGTGCTGTCTAAAACACTGTAGGTTGGTAATGTCAGACTGCACTGGAAATCTAAGCATTTCCTGCCCTCTTATATTTATTTTGTACTTATAGCACCAATACTGCCAATTAAAAAATACATGAGTTTTACAATTGATATTTTAGCATCACAAAACATAAATTCATGGCAGTTGAGTCTTCTGGGCAGTTTGTTCTCTCAGTCTTCAAACTGTTCTAAAATTTGGAAAGATTTGGTACTTTTTGATTCATAGCTTTTTTTTTTTTTCAAAGCTGCACTTTGCAACTCATCAGCATGTATTGTACAATACAGGTGAAATATAAAGAATTATAATAAAGGTACCACTATTAGCCTTGAGGCTGAGCCTACTGATGCCTTTCAAGCAAATTAATTCCTATCAGCTACAGTGCAAAGGCTGCATTTATGAAGTCTCAGTGACAACCAGAGACACAATGAAACAGAGAAATACTCACCTTATTTTCAATCTGATTTTGTTCACAACTTCATCGATGTTTGCCAAAGACTAGAACATGAAGAAAAAAAAAAATCAGAGAGCAGTGAAATGGCAGATGTTTTACAAAGATCTATGTCAGCTGTGATCCTGAACACTGTACCCCTTGTGGCTCTTGACAGAGAGGAGAGCAATGGCTTTGTTTTACAGGTGGAGGAACTGAGACACACAACAACTCAGCTGCTTCTCTGCTACATCACAAAGAGCAGCAAAAGACAGGCCAGGCCAAGGCTCCTGCCTGCCCCTATCCCTGAGCTCTGCCTTGTCCTTTGTCAGCAGAACTGCTCCCAAAAGCCGTGTGACAGTGACCTCCAGTGGGCAGAGGGGATGGGGACAGAGCCTTTGCCTTTCCTGGGCAGAGACCCTCTCGCAGAGCCACACACCCCTAACACAATCTTCAGCTGCAGAAACATCTCTTTTTCGCAATATGTTAGTCCAGAACCCCCCCCGGGGCCGATGTGGGGAAGACAAAGTGCAGATATGAGCCCACAGCAACCTCACTCTTTAAATCTCAAAAGAAACAATGGTTCAAACATGGATGACTCTCCTGTGACACTGCAAAAGGCAACACCTGCCAGATTTGGTTGAAACCCCTGAGAACTCAGCAATGATTAACACACAGTGAATTATGACATTTACTGCAGGAGAAACATCTACACAGAAACTAATTTACTTCTACAGATCAAAGTAGGACTCTTCCTGCAGCAAGCACTCTGGGTGGTAAGAGACTACATAACGACAGCAGAGCTTGTGAGATGCAAATTTAAGAAGCAATTATTGTTATAGGCTCATTAGCTGTGTTACTCTTTAAAAGAAAAGGTTTGGGTATAGGTTTAAACACACCTTTAGTCATCTCCTATCAGGTTACCCCAATAGTAAAGGGTGGAAGTAAAACCTGATAGTAAAAAGTATGAAAGTAGAGTCTGAGAGGGCTGTACTTGGAGTACTACTTACTTGCTCAGTGGGAAAGAGAGCATTAATATACTCCACAGCATTGAAATCTGCTCTGTCCAGTGGATCTTGGCTGGGAAACACCTGAAGAGAGGGAGGAAAACACACAGAATCAACAACCACTGATAATTTCTGTAACTCTACACACACTATCTACCACTTCTAATTACTTCAGCACCCACTTCTGATTGTATCTCACATTGTTCTAACAAGTGGCCAGGCCTCTGCCCAGGAGTAGAGCAGCCACGTGCTCTGCAGGTCTCTGACCTACTAAAATTCCTGTGGTTATCAGCCTGGATAAACACAGATAACTTACACACATGCTTCCACATACAGCCCTGGCACAATCCATCAAGGAATTCCCAGGACACACGAGCTATTAATCACATATCCCAAGCCATCCTGAAGCTTTTGCTGTTGTCTGGGAACAAACTCCAGCACTGAGGCTCTGCCCTTCTCTTGGCCTGGGCTTTGCAAGGCCCCGTGGTGACAGACAGATGATTTGCTTTTCACAGCCTTGTAATAGGAAACATGAAGAATTGAGAAGTGGTTGTACAAGTTCTCTGGAGACTTGGGTTTGCCACATTTCACAGAAGAGGGGGAGAATAAGAATCTGCTGAATGATTGTTCCTACTCATGGGAAAAGAGCAGCTGTGGTGCAAACAGATCCCATCTCTCCTCAGAAGAAACTCAAATTATACAAATGTGGCTGCCAGGCTTTGCTTTCTGTCCCCACAGACTAAAATGTGGTGCTTTCCCTTCCCTCCTACCACACTAAAGTTGTGGATGCCCCATCCCTGGAAGTGTTCAAGGCCAGGCTGGACTGGGCATGGAGCAAGTCGGTCTAGTGGAATGGGTCCCTAAACCAGCCCTCTTGGGCAGCTTTCCCAGTCACTCCTGTGGCCAAGGAGAAGCAGGCAGCAGCTAAACATGCATGAGGATGAGGCTGTGCCGAGGGAGGAAGATGCTCTGACATCAGCCCATGGTAAGAGCACAGCTGCAGCATCACACCCAGCCTTGTCAGATACACTCCACAAATCCCAAACCTCCACAAGTATTAAGAGCAGATGAAACAAGAGGTGAGATGGAAGATAAAGGTTGGTAAGGAGCTCCACTCAAACTGCAGATAGAGATCAGTGCTGCAGGCAGCTGGAGCAGCTCAAGGAGTTGTCACTCCCAGGAGTTTGTCACAACCCATTAATCAGAAATACTACCCCAGGTTTGGTGGAGCACCAGCCTGCCTGTGCTCCCCACCCTGCTTCAGGCAGGTCAGCTGAGCCAGCTCTGCTCACCGACCCACAACTGGACAGGTTTTGCCCAAAGCTGATTAAGGAACACTCAAAGGAACAACAGTGTTATTGGGTTGAGAAGTGCCAGTGAGGAAGGGATGGAAGGCAGGAGGTGGTGTCATCCTCAACATCTCCCCTTGCTCAGGACATGAATATCTGCCTACAGCTCTACTGCCTTCCCCCCCTCCTGGTGCTCACTTGGGATGCTGTGCCAGCTCCCAGGCTCTGCTCTAATTCTTCAAAGGAGAGCCATCAGAAATGAGCCACAAGCCTCAACATTCAAAACAATGAAAAAACTTATCTGAATGATACTTTGTGAGACAGCTGCTACTGCTGCCCACAGACTTCTGCTACAGCAAAGAGCTTTTAGGATGGAAGGGTTGGCTACAGGCAGTGCAGGCTCACAGAGGACAAGAGACATGGTTTCACCCTGGGTTCTCATGGGATTTTGAAAGGCTTCAAGTGCTGCAAAGGGTTTCAGGGAAGCCTGGAGGACTTGGGCTGAACACAGAATCATAGAATATCCTAAGCATCATCTAGTCCAACTTCTGGCCCTGCACAGGACACAGGACAGCCCAACGATCCCAGCCCAGCCCCAACAATCCCACCACGTGCTGAGAGCGTTGTCCAAACACTCCTTGAGCTCTGTCAGGGCCGTGACCACTGCCCTGGGGAGCCTGTTCCAGTGCCCAAACACCCTCCTGTGTATTAGCCACAAATCAAACCAAGCCATTCAGATTACCCTGACCTCCACTGAGCCACAGGCATCCGAGTGCACTGAGGTGCTTCACAGACCACAGAACGCGCCTGCAACCAGCGACAGAGCCCTGCGCTGCCGCAGAGCCGCCTGTCAGGGATGGGGACGTTGGGGGGGACACGCTCAGCACAGGTCCGAGCCCAACCGGGGCTGACGGGGCTCTGCCCGGGGCTCCCCGGGCCCAGCAGCGGGCAAGGCCCGGGGAGCGCGGCGGGGACTCGCCCGGCCCCAGGCCCTCACCGAGCGGCCCCAGGTCCCGCCCCACAGCTGCCCCCTCACGGGGGGCCCCGTCCCGGCGCACCTGCTCGATGGCGGCCTGCACGGCGGGTGCCAGTTCCAGCGCCGCCTCCAGCCCGGCCTCCAGCTCCGGCTCGTCCTCCTCCATGGCGGCGCCGCTTCCGCCGCGCTGAGGGGCGGGGCCTGATGGGGCGGGCCCTATATGGGCGTGGTCTCGGCGAGGGGCGGGGCTAGTGCCTGCGGGGGCGGGGCCTCCCGCCCGGCGGAGCGGGGCGAGTCCCGGCGGCGGCGGGGCTGGACCGGACCGAGCCCAGCTGAGCCGAGCCTAGCTGGGCTGAGGGGGGCCGAGCCGAGCCAAGCGGAGCTGAGCTGAGCTGAGCCGATCCGATCCAATTCAAGCTGAGCTGAGCTGAACCGATCCGATCCAAGCTGAGCTAAGCTGAGCCGATTCGATCCAAGCGGAGCTGAGCCGAGCCGAGCTGAGCCGAGCCGCCCCGGGCCCTCCCGCCGCCCGCCCGGCTGTTGACAAGCGGCGGCGGGAGTCAGCGCGCTCGTCCCCATGTGGCGGACGCTGGCCCTCGCCTCCGCCTTCTTCCCGGGGCTCTTCGTCCTCTGCATCCGGTTGCTGCGCTGGGCCGCCCCAGGATGGAGCCTCAAGGACCGCATCCTGCTCAGCGGCAGGTACGGGTGGCAGCGGCGGGAGGGGACACCGCACCGCGGCGGGACAACGCCGCCGGTACCCATCGGGAGCGGGACCGGGAGCGGGACCGGGAGCGATCCGGGCGGGCCAGGAGCACCGAGAGCCTGCATCCGGGGATGCCCAAGCCCGCGACGCTCTGGGGGCCGGACCCCGGCTGTCCCGATCCCAGATCCCGCGAGGGGAGCAGGGGCCGGTGGCCGGAGCAGCCCCGCGAGGGTGGGCAGCCCCTGAAGGTGGGCATTCCACGAGGACGGGCTTTCCCCGAGCATAGGCAGCCCCCGAGGGTGGGCATCCCCCCGAGCACGGGCAGCCCTGCCCGGCCGTACCCCCCGCGCTGTGCTACCCGTTGTCGGAGCGGGGATGCTCCAGTGCATCGCTCCTTCTGCCCACGGGGAACGGGTCAGCTCCACTGACCCAGGGGGGTGGAAGGGATGAGACGTGGCAAGAACCCCCTCTCTTTTCTGGCAAGAAGCCTGTCCCCGGCAGGCAGCGCTGGCACGGCCACCCCTCGCTGTGGTGTGTCACACTCCTGGGGTGTGCATGGAGTGGGTGTCTAAGTGCTCCCAGCTCTCCTGGTGCCAGCCCTGTGCCTCAGCCCTTCTGGGGTCACGTTTGGAGTGACCTGTTTCCTCTCTCTCGGTTTCAGGCTGGTGTCAACGGTCCAAGCCACGATGGCCACAGTGTCGGGGATCACAGTTATCCTCAGCTGCAAGAACGTGGTGTACGACAGGTAACCCAGCGCCCACTGTCCCTCGGGGAACACGCAGAGGATGTGCCCAGCCAGCTCCAGGGCTGGAATGTTTTATGCCAAAGGCTTGCACGTACAAAGGGGAGAGGAAAACCAGTTTCATGCTCCCCTTTCCTCCACTTTGTGTGAAGGGTTGGGCAATGTGCTGGCTGTACACCCCCCCTCCACGGCACCGGCTTGTTCCGAGTGCTCAGACACGGGGCTGCTCTGCCAGCACAGAGTCTCCTCCACAGGATGGGCTGTAACACAGGCTGTGTGTGAGCAAAAAATATAGACATCATCAGTTCTAAAGGGGTAGGGAGTCTCCTTGCTGGAAGCTGAAATCAGTACCAAGTCAAGCAGACGTAGTGAGAACTGATTTTAGAGGTGCAGCGTCTTCTCCGTGCCAAAGGGATTCTGAAGGAGTCCAGAAATGAGAAAATCAGAATGGAGTTTGCTCTGAAAGAAAATCCCGTTGCCTTTTCCTGAATGCTCCAAGATAAACTGCCAATAAGTGGCTCTCAGGAGGAGAGTGATAGTGTAATCTGGGTCAGAAGACTTAAAAACAGAGCTATTATCCAGACTAGCAGAGAAGATCGTAGGAGGGAAGAATATAATTATGCTGAGCTGGAATTTGACTGTCACACACTGATTTTTAGGAAGAGCTGCCCTGTTGGTCATTGCAGACTTGTTTTTAATATACAGATGTGAAGTGTCCTGCCTTGCTCTAGATAGTGAGATCTATCCAGATTGCTCAGCCCTGCTTAACCCAGGCAGTTACCTTTTTGCTCTAAAATAAAATTTCTGCTGGACAGATAAGGCAGATGATGAAGCCCAGAGCCACAGAGATGGAAGGCGCTACCAGCAGCCCTCCTTCCCCCCCGAGCTGTCTGCTTGCCCGGGTGTTCTCAAGGCCAGTGGCCCTGTGCGAACACTTTGTGGGCAGAGACCTAGATTTTCTTTGAATCTGGAGGAAATAGAGCCCAGTGCTCAGCAGGGAAGGCCTCGGAGAATGACAGCGAGACAGCGCGCCAGGAACCATCACAAAGGTTGCAGTAAAACTGCCAGTTTATTTACAGAGGCAGACAATCATTATATTGCCTGAGCTGTAATTGCCCTCCAAAGCCCTGGGCAAGTTTTGCAAACACAATCGCTTGCCCTCCCTGCTTTACATCACTGACATCTTTCTATCCGGAGCAAGGAACGCGTGCAACAGAATTTTCCTTGGAATGGCAGGAGAGCAAAAACAGTTTTATTTGAGCCCCAAGCTACATTTCTTTAGGAAACAGCACGGGGTGGTTTTGGTTTTGTTTTTTTTTTATCAGTGTGATTTCACTCAGGACTTTTTAAGGAGGCTGGAGTCCCTGCAGAGCAGGGCTTGCTGCTGCCCAGATTGTGCAACCGGGATTCCGACATGCTTTGGGAACAGGCAGCTGCCTGCAATTATTTCCCAACTGACAAACGCCTCTTGGGGGTTTATTGCTTATATTGGATATTTTGCGCCTCACTCTCCAAACTCCAGACCAGGCATAGCCAGTTAACTCTGAGTTCTCCATGAGCTTTCCAAACTCTCCCCGGGTTAGGCAGCCAGCTGACGTGGCTTGGCAGGCAGGAGGGAGCCAGGATCAGAATTTCCCCCTCCTCCCCCACCAAGCACCAGCTCTGGCGGTCTCAAGGCTTAGGGAAGATCACCTGCTGCAAAGGCATCAGTTTGGTGCTGGATCCTGAGGGGTGCTGTGCCCCTGGCCCGTGCAGCAGCTACTTGGCTGTGGGGCTAATCAGGCTCCTTGTTAGCGCCGTGTTTGTGCTTGGCCAGGCTGAGCTTGGTGCCTGGCACAGCCCAGGGGGAAGCGGGGCCTGCGCCAAGTCGTCCTCTACACGTACCAGGTACCTTTTCCCTGGGACAGTCTGTACCTGCTGAGCCAAATGGAGTTAAAATTTCCCCCCTTTCAGTTTGCCATCCGCTTCAAAACCCACTCCTGCCATTTCAGACCTAAACACTCTCTTCTTCTCCTTCCCGAGCATTGTGAGGTGCTCAGAGCCCTTGCAATGCCTCTGTGTGTGCTGCTCCTCCCCTAGGCACTGGCTGGCTGTGGAGTACATCTGGGTCCTCGTTCCCTACATGACTTATGACATCTATGTCATGTACCTCTGCCACTGGCACAAGAGCCTGGAAAAGGGAATCGCAGAGAAGAAGCACTCACTGGCCAGCGTGTGGAGCTTCCTCCTGCAGGAGCGGCTGATGGTGACTCACCACCTCTTCATCCTCATCGTGCTCACCCCCATCACCCAGGTAAGGTCTGGGCATGGCTGCTGCAGGAGCCCATGACCCCCTGGAGATGCTGGGTGTTGGCTCCCAGTCACCTCCCTGGAGGGCCCTGTGCTCACTGCTGCCTTTCTTTTACAGCACTTCAGGGGAGAGCTGGGGGACTTCTTCGTGGGCTGCATCTTCACAGCAGAGCTGAGCACGCCTTTCGTATCCCTGGGCAAAATCCTCATGCAGGTAGGTGAGGAGGGACAGGGCTCGGGTCTGGGAACCCCACAGCAGTTTGTACCCAGGCTCCATCAGCCCCTGTTCATGCAGCAGCTGGGCCAGGTGTCTCAGAGAGAGGCAGTCCCACAGCTGTAACCCCAATCTCCCTTGCAGTGCTGCCTTCCTCCCTCTGCATCCCATTCCTTTCCCCTAGTGAGCAGCACGCCCCACAGCATCCCAGAACTGGGGGCTGTGCCACGGCCTGGTGCTGCCCTCTCCTGCCTGTCCCTCCCCTGCACCATGTTCACTCCCACCCCAGCCCTCTGCCCCCATCTCCCTTCCCCCTACCCTCCTCCATCCTTTCCCACCCTACTCTCCTGCTCCCGCTCCTCCAGACCTCCCGAATGCTCACCTCCCTGCCCCCAGCACAGTCAGTGCCCAAGGAGAAACGCTGCTCACCCCATGCTGGCCTCCTTCCTTCCCCAGCTCAAAATGCAGGACACGCTCCTGCACAAGGTGAACGGGATCCTCATCCTGGTGACCTTCTTCCTCTGCCGCATCCTCCTCTTCCCCTTCATGTACGCGGCCTACGGGCGGCAGGTGGGGATGCCCGTGTACATGGTGCCTTTCCGCATCCCGCTGCACTGCAACATCGCCAACGCCTCCCTCATCGCCCCCCAGATCTACTGGTTCAGGCTCATCTGCCGCAAAGCCGCCCGTCTCTACGGCCGCCCGCCCGCCGACCGGAGCAGATAACGGCCGGCCCTGCCAGCCCAGCCGGGGGCTGCAACGGGGTCGGTCCCCCCAGGGGCTGAACAGGGTCAGCCCCCCCGGCTCTCCCGCCATCACTGCAGGGACCAGAGCAGGAGCAGGGATAGCAGGGATAGCGCGGGGCCATCCCTGCTGGAAGCAGCCTCACGTCTCCACCGCCGTGCCAGGCAGCGCCAGCCTGGGCTAGGAAGGCTTTCCTCCCACACCGCTCCAGCGCCTTGTGTCCACCCGCCCGTGGGAGCCCGGGGTGGGAGCTGGATCGTAAGCACAACATTCCATTCTGGGGTTCAACGCCGTGGCACGGAACTAACGGTTACACGAGAGGGGTTTGTTACAACCCCCCCGCTGCATGTTCCAGGGCTGACACCAGACACCGGCATGGTGGTGTGGAGGAGCCTGCAGACAGAGGAGGGGATCCTGCAGCATCCAGCCCTTACAGCAGAACGGATGGGGATGGGGAGCTGTGCGCCAGACCTGCCGCAGCCCCAGCTCACTCTTCCAGCTCCAGCTCAGCCTCCAGCCGAGAGCAGAGCCAGGCCTGGAGCTGCAGCACAGTTCTGCAGAGCTGTTCCTGACCTTTCCCGACTTCACCTCTACACTACAGCCCTGTTCAGCCTCTGACCTTCCACATGCACCTCCTGCTGCTGCTGCTGGGCTCAAGCTCACTTAAAACTCCACTTAACCCGAAGGTGCTTTTCATTACAACTGTCTGATGTCTGTCTGACAGTCCTGAGGCTGGGGGGCTCCAGTGTTCCCAGCAGGGCTGGAGGGAAGAAGCTCACACCAGGACAGGGCAATGGTTGCACTGTCTCACAAACAACACTGGCAGGGCAGGGTGCCCACAGCTGAAAGGCAGGATGGGGATGGGAACCTGCCAAGTCCTCATCTCACCAACACACAGGACACTATGCAGAGTTTGTTGGCAAGGGATGCAACTTTCACCCCCTCCCCTAACCACAGCTGCTTTTATCTGCCCGGCATCCCCTCAGCAGGTGTTTAAGACCATCTGGCACACCCTGCCTTGCTCTGCCCTCCAGCTGGCACCACCACGCCCTGGCAGCAGCTGTGGTACAGCCCAAGCTCCGGTTGTATGGTCCATCCCTCCAGCCCCATCCTACTCCCCCACAAGGCTGCCAGGGACGGAACTGGGGCAGCACAGAAGGAACTAGCAACCCCAGAGCAGGGTGCTAAGCCGGTTTTCCTTCACCAGTTCAGCCCATTCCCACCTTCAGTCACAGCAAAATGGGTTCAGGCTGCCTGGCTCGCCCTGCACCACGGGGTTCACGAGCCCTGCGGGTGTGTGCAGTCAGACCACAGCGGTTCAGTGCAGTTCAGTACCTTCCCTGCGGCCACCAGCACAAGCCAGGGCAGCCACCTCCTCCCCACAGCCTCCCGTGCCTGCTCCAGGGCAGGGAACTGCACCAGCCCAGCCCTGGCATGGTCCTGGCACGGGCCCACACCTGGGAGACCTGTGACCACGCTGTGCCTTTCATTCTTTCTGAAACCAGCAGCCAAACTCTGGAAGATCTGGATCTTCTGGGTGCTGTATCTCGTCCCAGTCACGGCTGTTGTTCTGGATAGAGTAAAAAAAAAAGGAAAAAGGGCCTCTTCCAACTTGTTGCAGAAGTGCCGCTGTCACAGTAACCACCGAGACCAGCTGATGTTATAAACTGCTTGCAACTTGTTACAGATGTTTGTATCTCACTGTTTTCATTGCAAATAACGTGCCTTATATAAGGACAAAAAAAACCCCCCAGCCAATGAGGCACCTCAGTTTGCACTAACACTGCCCTATTTACTATCTGGAGACCAATAAAGATTTCCTTTCTGAGTCACACCACTGGCTGGCTCTCCCACGTGCCATTTGTTTCTGGGTGGGGGTGTTACACACAGTGTTACTGCTGCACCCCCACCTCCGGGCAGGAGCAAACCACGTGTATTTCTAAAGGTTCCTGCCTGTCCTGAACTCACTCAACTCGCTTCCCAGCCTCCAACTTGCTTCCCAGCCTCTGGCAGCACTTGGCAAACCCAGCAATCCTCCCAGGACTAGGAGAGGGCTGGTGGCAAAGGAGTTGGAAGGAAACAATTTCCCTGATGCTGGAGGCTGCCAGGCTCTCTGTAAATCCAGACTGCCATGAGGCAAGGCTGGAGCCACAGAACTGCCAGCTCCTGCCCACAGTTATTCCCATGGAAAATTGAAGTGGTTCCTCCTACCCATCTTTACACAGCCCCTCCACTGCTTAGGCAGGGGTGGGAGAAAACACAGCAGGGAGGAAATAAATACAAAAGTGAAAAATAGGGTTTATTACAGATCTTACACCGTCCAGGTAAGGGGGCCCTTGTTGGTGGTCTCCTCTGTCACCCTCTCCAGCTCCTCAATCCAGCTCCCCGGCCGGATGTGCCCCCAGCTTGCTGAGCTTCTGCAGGAGGGTGCTGCGCAGCTCCCTGTCCCCCACGTTGTCCGTGATGGCCTCCAGGAAGTGCCTCTCGTTGGCCCTCCGCAGGGTGTTGCTGGGGGACGTGTCGGCGTTGCTGAACGCCTCGTACTGCGACAGGATCTCCAGTGCCACCACCACCAGGGGCTCCCCGCAGCCCTCGCCTGGCAGCATGGCAGCCACGTGCAGCAGGTGGCAGAACATCTGGATGCAGACGAAGGACACCTCCTGCGGGGAGGTCCCGTCCCCGGCGGGCTGCGAGGGGGGTCCCGCCGTGCCCTTGACGGAGGTCAGCAGGTCCGTCAGGCTGCCGCAGTACAGCTGCACCACGTGGAGCCAGGCCTCTGGGGGCAGCCAGGTGGAGCAGCTGGAGCTGCAGAGGAGCTGGAAGCCCCTCAGGAAGAGCACGGAGAGCTGGAGGTAGCAGGCAAAGGGGCGGAGGTTGAGCAGGGGCATGTACTGCACGTACTCCAGCGTGTAGGGCACGTGCAGGACCTGCCTCTCCAGCAGGTTTTCCACCATGTGCATGAGCCTCCTCCACTCGCTGTGGCTGCACCAGGGGAGCACCTGAATGAGGGCCACCAGGAACCCTTTGCTGAAGAGGTTCACTTCTTCAGGGTTGTCCACGTTGACTGTGAGGAGCGCCAGCATCGCGTCCCTGAGCGCTGGGGACACGCAGCAGCACTCCATCCACGCCAGGAGCCCGCTGCCCGGTCCGTAGGCTGGCAAAGACTGGGATGTCCACTCGTCCTCAGGGAGGGTGCAGATCTCGAACAGTGTCGCCGGGACCTCGTTCTTGAAGTGGTCTCCATAAAGCTTCTTCAGTCTGAGCCCGACGGTCCAGTCCAGGGATGCCACCTTCCTGTGGAGCCAGGCCAGGGACTGGACCCACAGCTCCAGGGACGGGGTAGATTCTGGTCCCACCACTTCGCAGAGCTGACAGAGGATATTCAGAATCAGGTCTTTGGTCTCCAGTGAAGGGAAGAGCTGCTCCCTAGGCTGATGCCAGTACCTGGTGTAACCATCTAGAAGCTTGCAGAGGCTCAGTAGAAGTGGGAATGGGTGACAGGATTTGATCCAGTGCTCTTCTGAACAGGGCTGTATTCCCAAAGCCTTACTGAGGACCTGCAGGCTCAGCTCAATCTGAGGAGAGTCTGACTTCAAATAGGGAAGGACAAAAGCTTTGGTCACCTCTGCAGGTGACACAAGCGGGGTGGCTGAGCCTGGTTGCATGAGAAAGGTAAGGAACTGAAGGAACTGTTCCTCTTCCCTCGCAGTGGAGAGCTTCTCCCATACTGCCTCCTCCAGACACCTCACCACCAGGTTGTGTGGCCTGTCTGGATCCTTTTGGGTCTCCAGGAAACTCAGTGCTGGGAAGGAGCAGAGGATTTGTGCGAGGAACTGGTGTGCTCCTAGGTTGACCACAGCAAGATGACAAACCTGCTTCACCGTAGCCTCAGGGTACAGCAGCGTGAGCCTGGCCACAGAAGCCACAGCCCTGGTCAGGCCTTCATCGGACACACTCTTCGTGATCTGGTTGAAAGTCACATTCAGATCCTCCTGGAACCCTTCCCTGACAACCTGCAAGTTCAGGGACAGACCTGGTCCACCCCAGGACATCAGGACACCCAAGATCACCTTGTTTTTGTCAGTTAATGAAAGCTCAGTGTAACAGTCCATGATGGCTTTGGTCACTTGCACCTGCAGCTCTCGGGCCTCCTTGTCTTGACAGGATGTAGCAAAGCTCACCAGTGTCTCCAGCAATTTCAAAACTAGCTCTGGTTTCTGGAAGAGAGCTTTATTTTGCACAAGGCAGTCAACCCAGGCCTTTGAAAAGGCCCAGGTCTTTTCAGATGCAAAAACAGAGCACATGTCTGCATGCCGGTCCAGCTTTTGTGCAATGATTGCCATGGCAACTGAAGACACAAGGCTGGTGGTGGCCAAATCCTTGCTCTTCGGGCTGGCACTGCTCTCCTTGAGAAAGTCCTTGGTGACCTGTGTCAGCTCTAACACTACACGTGTCTCATCCTCACCTACGTCTCTGGTCTCCGAGAAGCAAACCAGGTTCCTCCCAAGGGTGGTCAGAGTGTCCAGGAGCCGGTGGCTCTCATAGCAGAGCTGCTCAGAGCTGCTCAGAGCATCCTGCAGCTCCTCTCCCCAGGCACGCAACAAGCTGCAGAGGAACTCCAAGCCAACAAAGAGCTCCTCACGGGAGAGTTTGGTCACAGACAGGAGGCTCACGGTTCTCTCTGCTTCCCTCACCTTCTCTCCCAGCCCGCTGTGGTGAAACTGGCTGTCAGGGTCGCTGGTCCAGAGGCTGACTGTGGCACTGACCTTGTGCAGGTACTCTGTGGTGGGGAGGGAGCTGCCTGCTGGCTCCAGCTCAGTGAACACGGAGAGCAGCTCGGCCAGGTTGGCCAGGGCGTAGCACTGCATGCGGGGCTGGGTGATGTTCCCGTGGATCTGCTTCAACCCCTCCACCAGGACCATGAACAGCCCGGGGGCAGCTGGGGAGATGTTCACAGGGTCACCCTTGAACCTCTTTGGGGGCTGCACACCATCGTCCAGAGAGGACTCACCCCCGTGCTGGCGCATGAGAGCGCTGAACGCAGAGACTGTCGCGTCCTCCTGCCCTTCCTTGTGCTTCATCACCTCCCACCACACGTCCAAGAACAGCCTGATGTCGGACGGGGACGTCTCGCTGGTGACATATGCCACCATGTGCTCCAGCTGCTCCCGGCACACCGCCGGGGGCAGCGCCAGCAGCAGCTCCACGAACACCCGGGGCACGCCAAGCGCCTTGACCAGCTCGAAGAGGGCGGTGTGGTTCACGTCGGGGATCATCGCGCCCACCGAGAAGAAGCCGTCGTCCCTCCATCCCCACTCCAGCGAGGCGGCCGGGGGCGCGGGCAGCAGCACCTTGGCCCAGACGATGGCCACCGCCTCCCGCTTCCAGCGGTCGTGCTCCCGCGGCGAGGGGCAGCGCTCGCCGATCTCCCGCAGCGCGTCGGTGATGGGCACCCCCGCCAGGGGCCAGTCGGCCTTGCGCAGCTCCCGCAGCGCCCGCGGCTGGATGAGGCGGGCGGCCAGCAGGAACCCGCCGTGCAGGATCGCCGTGTGCTCGCCCACGGCCCAGGGCCCTGCGGGACACATCGTCAGCGCGGCCCGGCCCGGTGCCCCCCGGTTCCCCCCGGCCCTCCCGCTCCCACACTCACCCGGCTCCATGGCGGCGGCGCGCTGTGACGTCACGCGGGCAGCCAGATATGACGTCACTACCGCGCCCGCAGCGCCCCCTTGAGGCCCGGCGGGGGGTGAGGTTCATGAATTATTTTTTTTAATATATATTCATATTATTATATTGTATTTCTATAGTATATATGTAGTTATGTATACCGGATATTATAATGTATTGTATTTCTATTATTATACTGCACTTCTATATTACAATTGTTATATTATATATTATAGGCAATATATTAAGTAATTACGTATACTAGATATTATAATGCATTTCATTTATGTTATTATATTTTTATATTACATATTATATGCAATATAATATGTAATTATGTATGCCAGATATTATATCATGTTTCTATATTATAATGTGTTCTGTTACTTCATATATATAATATATGAAGTAACTATGTATGCCAGATATTATAATGCATTCCTATTATTATAAGGTGTAAGGTTATATAATATATATAATACATGAAGTAATTATGTATGCCAGATATTATAATGCATTGTATTTCTATTATTATATTGTACTTCTATATTATAATGTGCTATATTATATATGTAATATAGAATGTAATTATGTATACCACATATTATAGTGTGTTGTATTTATATTTCATTTTTAATAAATTTATTGACAATCAATTAAGTAATTAATTATTGCGCTCAGATATGCAATTAACAGTGAGGAAAACCCCTGGTGCACTGGCACAGCAGGTGGGCACCCAAACCATCCTCCCCAACCATTTTTTTTGTTGTTTCAGGGCACAGCTCACATGTGACATATTTAATTTGATCGATGCAGCATTGAAAATTCATCACTAAACAAAAAAGCTCGAATAAACCCTGAAGTGTTGCTTCCAAAGGCAGTTCCTCACCAAAAGCTAATTGCAAACCCATAATTCGCTTATTTCAAGCTGCCTCCCAGCACCTCAGCAGACAGCACAGCTACACACCCCAAAGCACAGCCTCAGCTGCCTCCTGGAATGTGGAAGGTTCCTTGGAAAGGGGTGGAAACCACCACATCAATAACATGATCCCAGCGAGAAACACACCACGGGCTTCTCAAGTGAACATTTCACCTCGAAAGCTGGGGAAGCACCCTGGAATGAAAATAAGGACTAGAATCTTCACAGGATTTGGCAAGATCATTTCTTTGTTCCCAATAAACATTCTGAGAGCTGAGCTGCTCCAGTTCTCCACACACGGCCCCACATTTTGCCACTGGAGCAGGGCATCTGCAGTACCCACAGCCACAGAAAATCTCTTCTCTGAGCTGCAATTCCAGGACAGCTAAAGCAAATTCATTAGAAAATCAGATATTATAACGTATCTATCAATCTCTTTTTCAACAACAACACTGAAATGTGAGGTTTTCTTAACTGATAATCCCTGGACTTGAAGCCACGTGCTCAGCCTGCTCCTCAATGCACAGCCTGATTTTTCAGAAGGAGAACATGCCATTTGCTTGAAAGGAGAGAGCAGCAGTCACAGACATCAGCTTAAATCAAACCAACTGATCAACCAACACCCTCAGATTGGGAGGGCAGTGCAACACATTCCACAGGATTGGCATTTTCCTGGATGAAATCCAAGGCACAAAGGAGCAGCCCAGTCCTTTCCTCCAGCTAAGCAGAAACCTTCTTCATGTTACGTGCAGCAAACCACTTGTCACTGTTGTCTGCAGCCATGGCCTGCACAAAGACAAGTGTGAACGTGGTCAGAGCAGTGGGAAAGGTATTTTGATGGATAAATTATTTTTTTTAGCTACTAGTAAGGAAAACAGACACTGAAAACCAATACTCTTTGGCACAGCAAATAAATAATGATTGGTTAGCACATGATCAACCCAGGACAGTTTGGACACAGCCTTCCCACAGAGCTCACATTCCATCCCAGGGAACGTCCCTCTGCCTCCAGGGGATGTCCAGCTGCACTGATGCTACTGCAGCTCAAAAATCACTTTTTGCAGTAACTTACATCAAAGTGTTGTTGATGTGTCCAGCAAGAAACATGATCACCCAGCTGCCCAGAGAGGGAGGCTCAAAAACTCCACACAGGGCACTAAGTGAGCTTTAAAAACTGATTTATTTTCCTTACCAAGCCTGGGCAATTTGCTTCTTGTTAAAACTCAACATAGCATGAAAACTAAGATTCTACTGGTATCTGTAAACAGGAAGAAAATGAATATGCAGGCAGAATTACTTACATCATCCAACAGCTTGTCACCGTTAGGGTCCACCTTGGACAGGTCTCTAAAGGCTTCATCTCCCACAAAACAGATTTCATGGCCATCCTAAACCAAGTTTAAGAGCAGGTCAGTTAGATAAAAGGCAGAGAGAAATTTAAACCCAATTTCATCCTTATTTCCAACATTACTCACAGGATCAGCCAAAATAATCACTTGCACTGTGGCTTTGCCAGGCGTGTCCAAGCTCACCAGGGGTGTCAAAATTTTCTGATTCTCCTTTTTCATCAGTGCTTCAATGCTTGGCAACTTAAACAGAAAACCAACAAAACCCAAACTTGTATTACCACTGCAAGAAAAGATAAACTATCTGCTCGATATTATTTTGTTCACACATGAGATATTTTGTTACCACAAGAAGTTGACTTCCCCAGTAAGGAGAGGGGAAAGGGAAATGTGACTGTTACCTCTTCCCTGGCACAGGAGAAGGCGATCCGTCCAAACGCTGTCCCGTGATCCACTGCTCCTCCAACAGCCTTCAGCTCCAGCTTACACTGAAACAGGGAGAAAGCAAGCCTGGCTTGTAGGGACACTGTTCTCCATGCTGCATTCACTCCAGCTTTTTCTCCAGGATGTGGATGATTTCAAAAGCCCCCATTCACATGGTTCCCAACCGGCCAGAATTACCAGAGCAAACCACAGCTTTTCCTTTTTTATAAAAATGCAGTTGAGTGTATACACAAGCTTCAATTAAAATGCTCAGAATTAAGCACACAGTTGCCTTAATTAAGAGGCTTTTTGCTTTTAAGATTCTGTTCTCATGAAAGAAGAAGTTTCTAGGATGAGTTTTCCAAGGACTGACCTGGTTATCCGCGTAGCCCAGCAAAGCCCTTTGCTTCTCCTCATCCTTCTCGTATATTTTCATCCCAAGCAAACCAGACCAGTAGTTAATAGACTTCTGCAGATTTGAGACACCCAGGGTTACCTTCAGCACGGGATCTTGAGGATTGCAACAATTGGGTATCAGTTACAAATATATCACGGTTTTAAAGGCACAGTTTTAAACTCGTGAGAAGTAACAAAGAAATAATAAACCCCTGCTCTGTTTCATAAAATGCCATCAAGGCAAACACACAGCCCTTTCTGATATCCCAGTGGTAAATCTCTCTTGAACACCAGTTAATGTGAGGGTAAACGTTTCACCTTGCTTGAGCTTCTCCTTGTCCTCCAAGTAGAACTTGTATCCTCCTGGAGCTTCAGTTTCAAAGACACCAGTTGTGACTTCTTTGAGGGGCCATCCCATCTTCTTGGCATTGCTCACAGCCTGGCTGGACACCAGTGTGATGCCCTGGTGAGGACACAGCAGAGATACACAAAATTCAAAGGGGGGGATGCAAATACATCATGTGTTTTCATAGATGAAACACAAGATCTCCATCTGCTGTCAGTAGGTAAATCACAAAAAACCAGGTAATAATAAATAATTCTGTCTTCCTAGAGCAAGATCCCTCTTAGCTAACCATTCCAAGTTGGATATGGCAGAAAACACCAGCTGTCCTACACACACAGCAGAGGCAGAGCTCAAGGAAGTGTTTCCTGGACCAAAAGTGAGCACAAATCTGCTCTAGTTTCTGCTCTTCCAACTTGGAGACAGCCACAAAAGCAAGAATAAAATGTTCAGGGGACCAAACAGCATAAAAAAAGCAGCTGGTACAACCTATATGACAAACAGACTCCTAATCTTTAAAGTAAATAAGCTGAGCATCAGAAGATTTTGCTGCTAGGAGTGGTACTTACCAGAAAGTCATTGCCCAGGCGATATTCTCCAATGCCATAATTGTAAGTCAATTCTGCCACAAAGTGATTGTCCTCTGGCCCATAGCCCACCATGGTTTTGCTCCATTTTCCATCATAAGGGCTGGAATATTCGTATTTAATTGTTAGGAGCATTAAAAGCAACCAACGTGAAATGCAAATATTGGCGTTTCAAGGAAGAATTGCATTTCTAGAGTAAAAATGGAGGGTCTGACCTTGGGCAAAAGCAATTCTACCTCATTAACAGCTCACAATTTAAGAGAACAGGCTGCTCGTTAACTGAAATTACATCAGCACTTCCTTATTGCTAAGTAGGAAAGGGCACCAGGCTGGAAGATTTCTTTCCTTTCAGAAAGAAACACGTTCTTATTTCTTCTTTCTTCCATTCTTCTGTCTTTACAAAAGCCTTTGGGGCTACCAGAAGGGACTTTTAACTCAAGACCTTAGTTAGCCCCATGCCCATGAAAAAAAATCAATTAAATTTAATTCTTGGTAAGTTTAGAAATAGTTAAATAAAGTCGAGTATTAGTCTGTGGGTGTAATTCAGCAATACTTTTGTTCAATGTAAGCTTTATATCTACATAAAAAAGGGGTCTGTTGGTTCCAAGGGAAGTAATTAAAAAAAAAACCAAAACCCCAACAAAACAGCACAATAAATCAAGCAAACCCTTATTTTACTATAGCAGTACACGGCTGGCAGGTGTTTTATGAAAACAAGGGACCCAGGGCACTCACCCGTTGCAGGTGGCCTTGCAGCCCTCCTCGAACTCCTCGTGCCTCAGCACCTTTAGAATCAGGAGAGAAAAGGGTCAGCATGGGGACGACGTGGACCTCATCTCCCTTTCCCCCTTCCTATTCCCTTTCCTATTTCCTTTCCCCTTTCCTATTCCCTTTCCTGCTTCCCATGCCCCTTTCCTCTTCCCTGTCCCCCCCTTTCCCCTTCTCCATCCCCCTTTCCTATTGCCTGTCCCCCTTTCCTCTTCCCCATCCCCCTTTCCTATTGCCTGTCCCCCTTTCCCCTTCCCCGTCCCTCTTTCCCTTGCCCTTCCCCTTTTCCCCCAGGAACCCTCACCGGGCCCGACACCGCCCCGGCAGCACCGCCCTGGCCCGGTAGCACAGCCCTGCACCCCCGCTCTGCCGGTGCCGCGTCCCCGGGGGGCTCGGAGGGCTCGGAACGCGCCGCTCTCCCGCACCCCCGGGGCCGGTGACACCCCCTCCCTCCCTCCCTTCCTCCCTCCCTCCCCGCTCACGCTCATGCCCAGCAGCTCCCGGTAGAACCGCGCGGTGCGGGGCCGGTCGCCCACTTTGAAGACGAAGTGCAGCGCTCTGCGGGCGGCCATGGCGGGCCGTGACGTCACTCCTTCCATCCGTCCGTCCCCTCCCCGGCGGTGACGTCACGCGGCCGCCGCGGGGCGGTGACGTCACGCGGGCGCGGCGATGGCGGCGCTGGGCCGCGTGTGGGGGCCGGCGCTGCTGCGGCCCCGCGGGGCGGGAGCGGCGGGGCGGCGCGGGGTGCGGGCGCTCCGCAGGAGCCCCGTGCGGGTCCTGCCGCCGGCAAAGAAGGAGGCGGGAGCAGCCCCGGCCGAGGCAGCGCCGGGACCCCGCCGGGAGGGGCCCCCGCCGCCCGCGGTGGAGCGGAGCGCGGCCGCGCCGGGGCTGTGGTACGAGAAGGCGGCGCCCGGGGACCGCAGGCTGGGGTGAGCTGATCCCCCTCCCCTTGGAAGCGGCCCGGAGCCGCACCTGCGGGATGGGAGGGAGATTCCGACCCTGGGGGGCTCAGGGGGGACACTGACACCCATGACTGTTACAGACGGTCTGAAGGTACCTGGGGGGCTTCACAGACCCTCAAGTTCATGATCTTTAAGGTCCTTCCAACCCAAACCATTCTATCTCGTTCCACCCCCTGGACACCTTCCACTATCCCAGGTTGCTCCAAGCCCTGTCCAACCTGACCTTGGACACTTCCAGGGATGGGGCAGCCACAGCTTCTCTGGGCAACCTGTGCCAGGGCCTCCCCACCCTCCCAGGGAAGAATAGCTTCCCAATATCCCATCTAACCCTGCCCTCTGGCAGTGGAAGCCATTCCTCTTGTCCTGCCCCTCTATCCCTTGTCGAAATCCTTCTCCAGTTCTGTTGGAGACCCTTCAGGTACTGAAAGGTGCTCTAAGGTCACCCCAGAACCTTCTCCTCCAGGCTGAATAGTCCCAAATCTCAGCCTTTCCTCCTAGGAGAGGTTCTCCATCCCTCTGATCATCTTTGTGACTTCCCATTGAAGCTCTTGGGAGCTGGCAAAGGCCAGACTGAAGGTGTTGTCAGCATCATAGCCATTCTCTCTGATTAACTTCCCCACAGAAAAGTGGTGACTATCGCCAAGTCGAAGAAGTTTCGGGATAATCACGGGAAGGTCCTTCTGGAGGGTCACAGGCTGATCAAGGATGCACTGGAGGCAGGAGCTGTGCCGCAGACACTCTTCTTCAGCACTGTGGGGCACCTGAAGGAGCTGCCTGAGGCAGAGATAAAACGAGCCAGCTTGGTTAAGGTGAAATTTGAAGACATTAAGATCTGGTCTGACCTCGTAACTCCTCAGGGGCTTCTAGGTAAGTTGCCTTGGGAACAGTCACAATGCTGCTCAAAGGGAAGCTTATTTCTTACTCAGGATAATGACTCTCCATAAACTTTCCCTAGACTTTCTGGTGGTGTGTGAAGAGTGCTATATTTGGGAGAATTTCCTTTTATTTGGCCTGTTGTGGTAACTGAATGGGGCTCCTAGAGCACACCGAAGGTGCTAACACTCATTTCTAATAGCACGATGCTGGGAAATACTTTCCCTTGTAAAGCGACAAACTCTTCTCAAACTTCTTTTAGGTGGTGCTTTTCCCTAATGCTTCCTCCAGCACATCTTTAGAGAGCTTTGGGCCAACTCACTCAGAGCCAGCCCTGTCCTTGGGGTGGGTCAATCAGAAACCTGTCACATTTTGTCTCTTCAGGCATCTTTTCCAAGCCTGACCACGCCAAGATGTCTTACCCTGCCGCTCAGCTCACCAACTCCTTGCCATTGCTCCTCATCTGCGACAATATCCGAGATCCGGGAAACCTGGGCACTATTCTGAGATCTGCTGCAGGAGCAGGCTGTGAGAAAGTGCTGATCACCAAAGGTAAGAGAAGAGTTTAGTCTGAGTAATTTGGGGGCTAAGGCAGGGAATGAGGTGCTTGAAGATGTTCCCAAGTTTGTAAGGAGTGCCTGGCACAGACATGATCCGCTGTGGGAAGCAGCATTTCCTGTATCCTGTCTTTGTGGGAGTCCCTGCACTGTCACTGTTTTTCCCTGTTCCTTCTCAGGCTGTGTGGATCCGTGGGAGCCAAAGGTGCTCCGTGCAGGCATGGGGGCTCACTTCCGACTGCCCATCGTCGCCAACCTGGAGTGGGAATCTGTTCCCACCAACCTTCCTGCTGGCACCCAGGTCTGCGTGGCCGACAACAAAGACCCAGGCGCTCCGGCCAAGACCACATCCGTGCCGAGAGGGGCTGGCAGGGCTGGCTCTGTTCCTGGCAACACAAAAGCTCCTGTGAAATCCAGACCCGAGGCTGCTCCCGACCATGAGGATGAGGCAGCAGCAGATATCCCAGAGCTGGCCACGCAGTGTTACTACGAGGACTGGGCACGGACTCCGGTGGCCGTGGTGATCGGCGGGGAGACCCACGGCCTGAGCGTGGACGCGCTGCACCTCGCAGCCAGCACGGGGGGGAAGAGACTGGTCATTCCCGTGGTGCCTGGCGTGGACAGCCTGAATGCTGCTATTGCTGCTGCCATCGTGCTGTTTGAGGGGAAGAGGCAGCTGCTGCGGAGGCACAAGGAGGATGACAGGCAGAAGGTCCCTGTAGCAGGCTGAACTGCTGCAGGTTGGGTGCTTAAGGAGCACCTCTCTTCCCTTTGGTTCCCTCAGAGTTAATAAAAGAGCAGCTCGGGCTTTTTGTTTGCAGTAAATGAGTGTTTAAGACTCTAGCAGTGCTGGGATGAGCATGTGGCTCCCAGTGGGTACGGCGGCCACAGGGTGATGCTGGTGAGAAGGGAAAGGCCGGGTGGGAGCCCTTCCCTCCCCTCAGCTGGCTCGCCCTTCTCAGCCAGCAGATCCTGGGAGGCCTCGGATACCTTGGGGCGGGGTCAGGGCACAGCTGCTACTGCAGCGTCTGCACTGCCCTGGCCAGGCTGACAGCGTGTGTCCTTCCCAGCCTGGCTGCTGCTTGTAGTTTTGGGGTCAGAAAGGCCAAATTGCTGCCACTTGAATGGGTCCTGTCTGTGCTCACCCAAACCCTGTGCTCTGACGAGCACTCCAACCTTGCCTGGCTGGCAGGGGCTGGCGTGGTGTGGGGTGTCTGAGCTCCAGCAGTCCTGCCTGCACTGCTGCCAGGAGGTGGTGGGCTGCTCCCTGAACTGCTCCCCAGGCAGTTCATCACCGCTGAACACAAGAACCTCGGAAACCTGCAAAACACAGGGGGAATTTATACAGGCCAGGCTGGCGGCTGTTCCCAGCTCCTGGCAGGGTGGGAAGCTGCAGCAGGATAAAAGGGGAGGCCATAATCCTGCCATGGCTGACTAATGAGCTGAAAGGGAAAAGCAGTGGCTTGCACAACACAGTGCTATTCAGCCGGGACATCAGGCTGGGAGCACCCCACCGGCTGCCAAATGGCTCCCTCCCTCCTGGGGAGCACCAACCTACCCTGTCCCCCCAAAAACCAGGCACAGGCAGGGGCTGTGTGAGCCCATGGAGGGAACACATGATCCCATTTCAGCCCCCACATGCTGGGAGCTGCTGCCACTGACACCTACCCTTAGGGTCTGGCTGGGAGCTCCTCTTCCCACACACAGGCTCTCCCTCTCCCCCAACAGCTGGACGCAGCAATTGGCACCTCCAGGGACGAGGTCATTGTAACAGTTTTATTACAAAGTTCCAATCACCATGTACAGTTTTTACAATGTCACTTTTCGGGGGCTCGGCTGCGCTGCTTGGGTTAGGGAGAGATTTTTTCCTTAGGTTTTTTTTCCTTTTTTTTGGTTATTTTTTAAAGAACAGCACCATTAATGTTGAGTTTGGGACACACCTACGAAAAACAGCTCAATCAACTAACACAGAGGGGAGAGGACAAGTCATACCAGAGAGGGGGGACAGGGAGAGCACAAGGGAGAGACAAGAGGTGAGGGCAGCCCGGTGGTGATCCTCCTCCTGGCTCAGAGAGGGAAGGAAAGAGGGATTACCCACCCACTGCGGGCGGATGGACCCTGACATGCACAGCCAGCGCTGCCTAAGGCTGTCGGTGCTTGGAGTGGGAGGCGGGAAACCCAACCAGAAAGGTCTCACCCCCAGGAGGAAGAGCTTGGCTGTGCTGTGGTCTTTCAGAGGTTGTCAGCAGTTAAGACTTTGTCTTGGCCTCGTCAGGGCACTTGCATGGGAGAGAAGGACCAGCCAGGGGCAAAGGGGAGAGTTTCCTTATTGCTTCCTGGAAGTCATTTAGTCAGCAGGGGTGGTAAGAAAGGAAAGAAGGGGGAGGAGGAAAAAGAAAAGAGCCCCAAGAACCCCATCCACTGCCTGATGCATACGTTGGGAAGAACACCATGCAAGGAGATTTGCCTGCTAGCTAGTGCCGTGTATAAAGTAACGATACGGTAACAGTTCTGGCCTGGTTATTAGAGAATATATCACCATGAAGCACAAGCGAAGTCTCCAAACGCCAACAACTCCCTGCTGAAAGTGCATCTCAAGGAGTTTGCTTAGGAGAAGGATTCACTGCGTAAAACAAGGCACCACAAGAAGGTTGGATACTGGGTCGGGCGTGAGGACACGCTGGAGAATCCACAAGCGGCGGAAGAGAGACCTAGTTTTAAATAATGTCTGTTGGCGCAGAATCCCCCTTAGATGGGCTCGGGTTTTAGCTTGTCTGCTAGAAAGTCGCTGACAAAGGCTTCCACGATTTCGGGTGTGATCTCCTCCACATCCATCACGTACTTGGCCCGGGCTGACATGTCCAGGATGGTGAGCAGGGGTGCAGCCTCAGGCAGGTTGGTGTAATCCCGCAGGGAGTCGGTCATGTCGTCCTGGAGGCCAAAAGGAGAGAGAGAGGGGAGTCATCAACAAAGCAAGGACACCAGGAGCAGTTTGCTGCTTCCACAGCATGGTCCAGCCCGCAAGGGATTGAGCCCTGCACCAGCACTGCAGGACCACAAGTGTAGCAGGCAGCACCTGTCTTGCTGCCTGCCTTGCCTGTGGTTTGAGTCAAAACCAAACTGGGCTGATTTATCCCAGGCTGGAATGGAACGTGCACTCCTCCAATACTGTCCATGCAGTGCACTGCTCCCAGCACACCCAGACTGATCCTGGGGCTTC